GTGAGCGCGCGGGGAGAACTGGGCAAACTCTGACTCTAAGCACAAGATGCGGCTTGTCCAAACAAGGGGCAGATTCTGACTTAAACGTCCGTCCATCCACCATCCATCCATCCTATCCATCCATCCATACATCCACCCACCCATCCATCCATTCATCCATCCATCCACCGCTCCATCCACCCCACCCCCATCCCATCCCATCCATCCATACATGCATCCATCCATCCCAGGGTGCGGAGCGAGAAAACTCATGTGTACATGTAGATGTGTATGTACATGTGTATTTACAATATTCAACGTGCCCGTCTGTGTTTTCCCTGTCCGGCCAAGCTTAAAGCTTGTTCAAGGAAGCAGGCACAGAGTGAGAAACCCCTTCCACCTCACGAAAAGAACACAAGAAGGAACTTGCTGGATCCGAGTAGACTAGCGCTCTCTCTCTCTCTCTCTCTCTCTAAGAATGAACGCAGCTGTGAGTGAACGGAGTCATCCAAGATAGCAGAACCGAAGCTAGAGGTTGGACCTAGGCCCGGGTACGAAACTGACATGTTGATGTTCAATATCTGAGGCGCGCTTCCCATGACCAAGCAACGTGTGGCCAATGACAAACAGGACAGCAAGCCGAAAGAAAGGGACATGACGATTGCACTGGTTCTCTATCAAAAGCTGCCGTCTGAGCGCGAACTTTGCGCGCGCAGGTGCCTAGAAAGCTGTCGATCAGGCCTGGGGCCTGCGTAAAGAACTGCAGTGAGCCGCCAAAGAAAAGCAAATGCATACAGAGCCTGAGCTGCGCGCCATTGTTTGCCCCGCGCTTGGCACACAACATGAAACCCTCAAGGGGCAGTGCACACACAACTGTGTCAAGCACTGCGGTACCTGAAGGCAATGCAGTGAACCGAGCTTGGGATCCAAAACTCAAGGGAATGCCCTGTGTGTTCAGAATGGGGGCGGCGCAAGGCAATACCTGAAAATGTGCCTGGGGTGTGGCCAGCATCCATCGAATCCCAAACAGAGCGCAACTCTGGCACCTGGACTGCGCGCTCGTGGCATCATGAAGTGCCATGATTGCGCACGCATTTCCGCCGGGACTTGCGGCTCAGCATTGGTCTCAAAACGGCGCAATGTCCCAGTGGCAGGCTTGCCATGGACAAATGCCTGCCAAGATGCCGAAGTCCACGTTTGACTTGTTAAACTTTCTGGACTTAGCAATGGCAGCGTGGGGACCAATGCGGAAGAAGTCAATTCTGGCCAGCATGCGCATGGGCATGCGGTTGGGCTCCATGTTGAAGCGGCAACTCGGTTGCCATCGTTCCCTTTCTTTCAGAACCCTGGGCCTGAGCAGGGTAGGGACAGCCAACACTGGAGCCTGCGTAATAGTTGCGCAAACGGTGGCCAGGAAGCGACCGAAAGTCAGGCAGCATCCACGAAGTGGGGACAGAGGGTTCGGATTTGTGGTCTCGCCGGATCTCCGACATCTTCCAGGGCCGAAGCTATCACGAGGGAAGAAGCGCAAGTGGGTGCCAGAGCAAAAACGCAAGCTCTGTAAGGCCAGCCAAGCAAAACATAGACCCCGCCACAATTTGAGTCTTGTACGCCACGTTCTGTGGCTGCGCCCAGTGAAAGCAACGGTCAAGGGTTGGCATGTGAAACATCACGCAACTTGGAATCGAACAAGGCGAAAAGAGACACGAGCCATAGCAGTTCAAGAAGGCGCATCATCTGCGAAATGACTACTCACAGCAGTCGACATCTCCGCATAGGTGCTCGCGTTTGACGGTGGCACTCGCCTGCTGCGGCGCTCACGCCCTCAAGTGTTCACCTGCCAATGCAAGGAAAGTCATGGCCGCAGAAGCTACTGGACCTGCGGAGTGCTTGGGCAGGAACGGCTAAGTTAGCCCGATAGCTGGCGTGATTCAAGAGGGGAGTCGCGCGCAAAATTGTTCTGATTTGGGAGTTGCAAGTCGCGAGGGCGCTGTCCTGCATATGGCCAGGAAAGACGACGGGAACAGCGCCCAGCAAAGCCCGTTTGTGAGGCCTGCTTGGAGGCAAGGTCGCCCGCGCAGAACAGTCTGCGGGAGCCCGCATGTCTCGATCAAGCTGCAACCAATGAAACCTCGCGCGCATCAACGAGGACGGCCGGCTTGACTTGACCCGGCATTGGCTGCAGGGGCAACCTCCGCGCACAAATCAGCACGCGTGCTGCACGGCTGCCTCAAGCCCAGTGAAACAAGCCTTCCGACCTGCAATCTGTAGCAGCAGTAGCACTCACTCGGAAATGGATGCAGGAACAACCGCATGCCTCAGGCATGCTCAGGCTGATGCCTAGAAATGGCCCAATCTGATAGAAGTGGTGGGACTCGCTGGGCAATGGATGTGGATGCCTACTGAAACTCAAGCTGCCACCTCGTCTGCAAAAATCAATCAAGCTTCTCACGGCCAATGTGCGGCCCTCTGGAACTGGTCCTGAAGGGCGCATGCCCGCGACGAGCGGCACGGCTCATGGCATGAACCCTGCGCGCGCCGAAACTTGGAAGGCATGGCTCGAGACAACGGCAACGTTGACATGAGGGGCCTACTTGAACCTGCAATGGCAAGTTTCTCTCACGGCTCATGCCTGCAGGCGAAACCCCGAGCGAGTTTGAGTCGCACGGACGACTACACGGTCAAACCAGCAAAATTGAACGGTACGTCAAGCCTGGCGACACGTGCGAAGCCCGCAAGTTAAAATTGCCCTATCAAATAGCAGTGGTGTGGATGTGGATGCCTACTGACTCCTTTGCAGAAGTTCAATCAAGTTTCTCACGCCCAATGTTGGCCCGGATCTCTCACGGCTCAGGCCAACATGAGCTCGCAACTGCCTGCAAACGAAAGCCCCGCCGAGCGGGTTTCAGTGAGACGGACGGCTGCACATAAAACTTGTAACTTGGAATCGCTCCCAGCAAAGGCACCCTTTCTGCAAGGTCAAGCCAGCACACTGCAAGGCTACGTCAAGCCCATTGACACGCGCCTTCTCAACACCCGCAAGCTGAAATGGCCCAATCTGATAGAAGTGGTGGGACTCGCCTGCTGAAACTCAAGCTGCCACCTCGTTTGCAGAAGTTCAATCAAGCTTCTCACAGCCGGTGTGGGGCCCTGCTATCTGAATCTGCGAGTCCCGAAAGGCGCAAGCCTGGGTCAACAAACAATCACGTGGCTCACCGCGAATGTCCCAGCGAGCGCCAACGGAGACGGACAGCCAGGCTTCGAACCCGGCGTGGCTCCAAACAGCAACCTCTCTGCAAACCCGCGCGCGCTGCAAGGCTGCTTTGAGCCTGGTGACACAAGCCGCCTGGCAACCTGCAGGCATGCAAATGTGGGACTGACTGGGCAATGAACGCAATGTGGATGCCTACTGCAACTCAAGCTGCCACAGAATTTCAACCAAGTGGCTCATGGCCGATGCGGGCCCCAGCTCTCTCATTCCGCAGGTCCCAAAATGCGTATGCCTGTCGGCGCAAAAACACACAGCACAAACTAGCACGAGCTCGCAAACGCCCACAACATCTCCCAGCCGGAAACAAACAGCTGGGACGCCAAGTCCCGGAGTGGCTCCACACCAGGGCGCCTGCCAGACTGCGTCACATCCAGCTAAAACAGCACCATCTCCGATGATGCTTGCTCAAACTCAAGCTGCCAGCTTCCTTGATTCTCCAGCCCTCGAAACGCACATCCACGTGCAAGCAAGCCTGCAAAAAGGGCAAGCTGCAAAAGTCATTTGGCTTAAGCCGCGCGACGCAAACCTTACGCGGCGCACGTCTACACTTTCGGCAAACACCGTTGCGTATGCAGCCCAAGCCTTACCCTGTCAAAAGTCTTACCCAAGCCTCTACACAGCTGAGGCCGCTCAAGCCGCCAGCCGCTGACAACTGGTCTCGTCCCGAAAGACCAACAATCAGCACCACAGTGAGAAGCAACGAGAGAACATCGGCCTAAGCAAACCGCAAGCACGACGGACCACATCTTCGTGAGCACAAAACCGTTGCCAAATCTGGCCCCAAGCCTTGCCCTCACAAACAGCAAGCCAGATTCTTACTGGCCACAGTTCAAAGTCTCCCGCCCCTCCAGAATAACGAAGGCAGCAAGGCAGCGGCTCAGTGACAAGGCTTCAGAAGGAATGTTCGCCAGCCACTGACAGGCGATCTGCTATTCCGGAAAGGCAAACAGTCAGCACCACAGTCGGCAGCAACAAGAGAAACATCGGCGTGAGCAAATCATTTCGCCGAGGTCTCGGATTCCTTTTGCGTTTCCTGCGGCCACTGCCGCTGCGCAAGCTAGCAGCGCGGCTGCAAAATCCTGCGAACGCTGCGCACGAGCGCGTAGCACTGCTAGGCTACCAGCATGTGGCGGCCAGCCTGGGTCAGTCGGCCCAACTGTCGAGGACTGGAAAGCCGGCCAAGCCCGCACCCCACGTAGGCTTTAGCACCAGGTTTCAGCGCTCCGGTGTTTTTGGTCCTGTGCGAAGGGCATCCGTGCGCAAACCGAATTCTGAGCTGATCAAGGCCGATCCCGCGCAGCGTCCGAATGTTGTTAAAACAACAGTGTTGCCATTGAACTGGGACACTATGGGGTACCCGTTTTGCAAGACACCCACTTACTAGTTGGCGGTTTTACTTTGGGTTTCCCTGCAACTCACCAGAAAGGGATCAACAAAGACACGCCCATTTTGGTTTTACAGATGCGTTGGACATCAGTGAATTGAAAGAAGTTTCTCCAAGTCCAAAGACCGGTGACCGGCAAACTGCCTAATTAGTGCTTGGAAATGGTGGTTGGGCAGTTCGAAGTTGAAGGTCCTGGTGAGCTCTCACAATGACCTGCAACCCTCAGTTCCCACCAGCCCAAGCCACGGGTGAAACCAAATCTGTACAAAAACAAGCAAGATCCATTGACCCCCCGCCGGAGAAGATACCAAAACAAGAAGCGCCCGTCCGGCTGTCACATCGCTTGGGTTGGACAATTCATCCTTCGCTCCGGAAAGGGTGGGTCAAGGGACCCTTTTTTTCTTTGTGCGGGCCGTCACTCCTCCAAACCGGCTAAGCTCCTTGCGCAAGAAGTCAAAGCGAGAAGGCAAGCCAAGACATGATCAAGCCACGCGACTTATGTAGGTTGTAACCATGGCTATACTTAGACTCGGCAAAGATTCTTTCCCTAATCCCCATAGTTGTGGCTTTGAGTTGAGGATCCAGGTGGCGGTGCCCTCTCTGTGATGCCCAAGAAAGAAACCTGTGGAGGTGTTCCGCGGCGGTTTCCCATTTGCCTACAAGAACCACGGTCAACTCTCCGTCCTGCGGGAAAGTGGTTTTGACCTGCATGCAAAGCCAATGCATTCCATGATCGCGCGCTCCAAACGTGGATATTTCCCAGGGTGCATCTGTCACAAAGACAACCGTCCAAAACACTACAGTTCCACACGACCACAAGCGTGCGCGCAGTGCTGAGCAAACGGGTGTGCTTGCCATTTGGCAGGCGTGCGTGCAGCGCTGAGCGGGTGTACTTGAGCGGGTGCGCTTGCCGTTTGGCAGGTGGGTCTGCTCTGCTGAGCGAGTGCACTTGAACTGGTGTTCTCACCATTTCGCAGACGCGTGTGCAGTGCTGAGCAGGTGCTCCTGGGGGGGGGTGTGCTTACCATTTGGCAGGCGTGTGTGCCGTGCTGAGCGAGTGCACCTCAATGGGTGTTCTTACCATTTGGCAGGCGCGTGTGCAGCGCTGAGGGTGCTCTTGAGCGGGTGTGCTTACCATTTGGCAGGCGTGTGTGCAGATGCTGAGCGCGTGCACTTGAACGAGTGCGCGTACCATTTGGCAGTGTGTGGGTGTGTGCAGTGCTGAGCGGCTGCGCTTGAGCGGGTATGCCTACCGTTTGGCTGGTGTGTGTGTGTGTTTTGTGTTTGTGTTTGTGTTTGTGTTTGTGTTTGTGTTTGTGTTTGTGGTTGTGGTTGTGGTTGTGTTTGTGTTTGTGTTTGTGTTTGTCTTTGTGTTTGTGCTTGTGTTTGTGTTTGTGTTTGTGTTTGTGTTTGTGTGTGTGTTTGTGTGTGTGTTTGTTTGTGTGTGTTTGTGTGTGTTTGTGTGTGTTTGTGTGTCTGTGTGTCTGTGTGTCTGTGTGTCTGTGTGTGTTTGTGTGTTTGTGTGTCTCTGTGTGTCTCTGTGTGTCTCTGTGTGTCTCTGTGTGTCTCTGTGTGTCTCTGTGTGTCTCTGTGTGTCTCTGTGTGTCTCTGTGTGTCTCTGTGTGTCTCTGTGTGTCTCTGTGTGTCTCTGTGTGTCTCTGTGTGTCTCTGTGTGTCTCTGTGTGTGTGTCTCTGTGTGTGTGTCTCTGTGTGTCTCTGTGTGTCTCTGTGTGTGTGTCTCTGTGTGTGTGTCTCTGTGTGTGTGTCTCTGTGTGTCTCTGTGTGTCTCTGTGTGTCTCTGTGTGTCTCTGTGTGTCTCTGTGTGTCTCTGTGTGTGTCTGTGTGTCTCTGTGTGTCTGTGTGTGTCTGTGTGTGTCTGTGTGTGTCTGTGTGTGTGTCTGTGTGTGTCTGTGTGTGTCTCTGTGTGTGTGTCTGTGTGTGTCTGTGTGTGTCTGTGTGTGTCTGTGTGTGTCTGTGTGTGTCTGTGTGTGTCTGTGTGTGTCTGTGTGTGTCTGTGTGTGTGTCTTGTGTGTGTTTGTGTGCTTGTGTGCTTGTGTGCTTGTGTGCTTGTGTGCTTGTGTGCTTGTGTGCTTGTGTGCTTGTGTGCGTGTGTGCTTGTGTGCGTGTGTGCGTGTGTGCGTGTGTGCGTGTGTGTGCGTGTGTGCGTGTGTGCGTGTGTGCGTGTGTGCTTGTGTCTGTGTCTGTGTCTGTGCTTGTGTGCTTGTGTGCTTGTGTGCTTGTGTGCTTGTGTGCTTGTGTGCTTGTGTGCTTGTGTGCTTGTGTGCTTGTGTCCTTGTGTGCGTGTGTGCGTGTGTGCGTGTGTGCGTGTGTGCGTGTGTGCGTGTGTGCGTGTGTGCGTGTGCTCTTGTGTGCTCTTGTGTGCTCTTGTGTGCTCTTGTGCGCTCTTGTGCGCTCTTGTGCGCTCTTGTGCGCTCTTGTGCGCTCTTGTGCGCTCTTGTGCGCTCTTGTGCGCTCTTGTGCGCTCTTGTGCGCTCTTGTGCGCTCTTGTGCGCTCTTGTGCGCTCTTGTGCGCTCTTGTGCGCTCTTGTGCGCTCTTGTGCTCTCTTGTGCGCTCTTGTGCGCTCTTGTGCGCTCTTGTGCGCTGTTGTGCGGTCTTGTGCGCTCTTGTGCGCTCTTGTGCGCTCTTGTGCGCTCTTGTGCGCTCTTGTGCGCTCTTGTGCGGTCTTGTGCGGTCTTGTGCTCTTGTGCGGTCTTGTGCGCTCTTGTGGCTCTTGTGCGGTCTTGTGCGGTCTTGTGCGCTCTTGTGCGCTCTTGTGCGCTCTTGTGCTTGTGCTCTCTTGTGCTTGTGCTCTTGTGCGCTCTTGTGCGCTCTTGTGCGCTCTTGTGCGCTCTTGTGCGCTCTTCTGCGCTCTTGTGCGCTCTTCTGCGCTCTTGTGCGCTCTTGTGCGCTCTTGTGCGCTCTTGTGCGCTCTTGTGCGCTCTTGTGCGCTCTTGTGCTCTCTTGTGCGCTCTTGTGCGCTCTTGTGCTCTCTTGTGCTCTCTTGTGCTCTCTTGTGCTCTCTTGTGCTCTCTTGTGCTCTCTTGTGCTCTGTTGTGCGCTCTTGTGCTCTCTTGTGCTCTGTTGTGCGCTTGCGCGCTTGCGCGCTTGCGCGCTTGCGCGCTTGCGCGCTTGCGCGCTTGCGCGCTTGCGCGCTTGCGCGCTTGCGCGCTTGCGCGCTTGCGCGCTTGCGCGCTTGCGCGCTTGCGCGCTTGCGCGCTTGCGCGCTTGCGCGCTTGCGCGCTTGCGCGCTTGCGCGCTTGCGCGCTTGCGCGCTTGCGCGCTGTGCGCTTGTGCGCTTGTGCGCTTGTGCGCTTGTGCGCTTGTGCGCTTGTGCGCTTGTGCGCTTGTGCGCTTGTGCGCTTGTGCGCTTGTGCGCTTGTGCGTGTGTGTGTGTGCGTGCGTGTTGTGCGTGTGTGCGTGTGTGCGTGTGTGCGTGTGTGTGCGTGTGTGCGTGTGGTGCGTGTGTGCGTGGTTGGCTTGTGCTTGTGCTTGTGCTTGTGCTTGTGCTTGTGCTTGTGCTTGTGCTTGTGCTTGTTGTGCTTGTGCTTGTGCTTGTGCTTGTGCTTGTGCTTGTGCTTGTGCTTGTGCTTGTGCTTGTGCTTGTGCTTGTGCTTGTGCTTGCTTGTGCTTGTGCTTGTGCTTGCTTGCTTGCTTGCTTGCTTGCTTGCTTGCTTGCTTGCTTGTGCTTGCTTGCTTGTGCTTGTGCTTGTGCTTGTGCTTGTGCTTGTGCTTGTGCTTGTGCTTGCTTGCTTGCTTGTGCTTGTGCTTGTGCTTGTGCTTGTGCTTGTGCTTGTGCTTGTGCTTGTGCTTGTGCTTGTGCTTGTGCTTGTGCTTGTGCTTGTGCTTGTGCTTGTGCTTGTGCTTGTGCTTGTGCTTGTGCTTGTGCTTGTGCTTGTGCTTGTGCTTGTGCTTGTGTTTGTGTTTGTGTTTGTGTTTGTGTTTGTGTTTGTGTTTGTGTTTGTGTTTGTGTTTGTGTTTGTGTTTGTTTGTGTTTGTGTTTGTGTTTGTGTTTGTGTTTGTGTTTGTGTTTGTGTTTGTGTTTGTGTTTGTGTTTGTGTTTGTGTGTGTGTGTTTGTGTTTGTGTTTGTGTTTGTGTGTGTTTGTGTTTGTGTGTGTTTGTGTGTGTGGGTGTGTGGGTGTGTGTGTGCAGCTCTGACCGAGTGCACTTGAACGGGTGTTCGCAGCACTGCCTCGATATTTCGCGTTTCGCGGTGTTTTGTGAGCGGGCAAGATTGAGCGGTTTTTAAAGTGAGAACGCGTCAAGTGCGGCGCAAATCCACGAACCCTGAAGAAAAATCCAACTGAGAAACAAAGCGGCAGCCAGAAAGAAACCCAATGGAAACAAAACACTTCACGAAAAGCAGCAGGCAGACCAAGCAAGCCAGTGACAGGCCTTGAAAAGAACCAACTGCACAACAACCAAAAAAAACGGCAGCCACACAGAACAAGCAAACTAGAAGCCCTTCGGAAAAATATTGCTTCACGAAAAGCAGCAGCCGGACCAAGCAGGCCAGCGACAGGCCCTGAAGAAAAGCAACTGCGCCAAGAAAGCGACATCCACACAGCCCTACTACAAACATCCCACTTCAAGAGAATCAGCAGCCCGACCAAGCAGGCCAGTGACAGGCCTAGAAAAAATCCAACTGCACAAAAAGCATGGCAGCCACACACAAAAACAAAATAGAAACTCTACTCCCAGACGCTCCCAACTCATGTTTCGGGCCCTTCGGCCCTCGCGGGCCCTCGCGGTCGTAGGAGGTTTCGGGCTGGTTTTTTGTTGGGGGCCTTTCGGCTGCAAACAAGCTTCGGATTACCATCGGATAACCGTCGGAGAACCGTCAGATGGCCGTCGGATAGGCGTCGGATAGCCGTCGGATGGCCGTCGGATAGCCGTCGGATAATTGGGCCGGGGCCCCCAAAACTGAGGGTCTACGAGGGCCCGGCGTCGGATACCGTCGGATACCGTCGGATAACCGTCGGATAACCGTCGGATAGCCGTTGGATAGCCGTCGGGTAGCCGTCGGATAGGGGAGGTGTGATTCGAGGCCATTTTGGTCGATCAGCGATCCATTGATCCCGTCCGGATTGCACTAGGGGCCCACAAGGCCCCGTATCCGACAAACAGGCGGGTCCTTTCAGGAGGGAGGGCCCCGGACCCTCCCTAGGAAACCCCACTGCATGCAAAGCAGGAGCCCAACCAAGCAGGCCAGTGACAGGCCCTCCAACTGCGCAAAAAAACGGCATTTGAACTGTTTGAACTCCCCGTGTAAAGAAACATCACTTTTGGGACACGCGATTTTGAATTTTTGAATTGTTTGAACTCTCCAAGTACAGAAACATCACTGTGGGGTTTGAATTTTTTGAACTCCCCAAGTAAAGAAACATCACTTTCGGGACCCGGGATTTTGAACTCCCCAAGTAAAGAAACACCCGGCGGAACATCACTTTCGGGACCTGGGATTTTGAACTCCCCAAGTAAAGAAACACCCGGCGGAACATCAGTTTTGGGACCCGGGATTTTGAACTTTTTCAACTCCCCAAGTAAAGACACATCACATCACTTTAGGGGACCCGGGATTTTCAGCGTTTTGAACTTTGTTGGTCTCCCCAAATCAGGAACTAGGATTTCACAACCCGGGTTTTTGACCTTTTTGTCGGTCTTTCAATCTCCCCAGCCCAGGAACTCAGATTCGAGGGGCCCTTGGATGTTGACCTAGTTGGCTTCTTCCAAAATTCGCAAGTAAAGAAGCATGAATTGAGCGACCCAACTTGCGTAACTTTCCACCAACCCAAACTAAATGAAACAAGCGGCCCCTCCAAACAACCAACCAAAACTAAATGAAACAAGCGGCCCCTCCAAACAACCAACCCAAACTCAATGAAACAAGCGGCCCCTCCAAACCAGCAACCAAACCTAATAGAAAACCGGCCCACCAACCCAAACTACAGTAAATGGAAAAGCGGCCCCCTCCAAACCACCAACACAAATTAAATGAAACTAGAACCATCAACCCAAACTAATTGGAAAAAAAAACCCAACCCAACCAAGCCAGCAACCCAAACTAATGGAAAAACAGCCCCCTCGAAACTACCAACCCAAATCAAATAGAAAAAACGGCCCCTCCACGCAACCAAACGAAACTAAATGAAACAAGCGGCCTCTCCAAACCAGCAACCCAAACTAAATTAAAAAAAGCGGCCCCTCCAAACTACCAACCCAAACTAAATGAAACAAACGGCCCCTCCAAACTCCAAGCCAGCAACCCAAACTAAATGGAAAAAACGGCCCCCTCCAAACTGCCAACCCAAAAACGGCCTCTCCCAAACCAGCAAATGGAAAAGCGGACCCCTCCGACCAAACCACCAACAAAAATTAAGCGAAACTAGAACCACCAAGCAAAAGTAAATAGAACAAGCGGCCCCTCCACACAAACAACCCAAAAACTAAATGAAACAAGTGGCCCCTCCAAACCAGCAACCCAAACCAAATGAAAACAGCGGCCCCCTCCAAACTACCAACCCAAACTAAATGAATGCAAAACCGGCCCTCCAAACCACCAACCCAAACTAGATGGAAAAGCGGGTTAAATGAAACTAGAACCATCAGCCCAAACTAAATGGAAAACGCGGCCCCTCCAAACCTCTTCTTTGCAAAGCCATGCCTTCCCCGTTATTTTTATTATGCTTGTGGGTTCTCAGACGCGCATTTTTTGTACCAGGTCCACATTGTATTGCGCCAGGGTGATGCCATTGTTCGGGTTATGACTATACATGGCTATGGTTTTTAAGGGGCATGCAAAGCCCGACGCAGCGCGAACCTTGGTACGGAGGTATGTAACGGGGGCTCTTGTAACTCTGTAGCGAGAGAACAGTGCTTGACACTTCCACAATTCCAGCTCGAAAGTTGCATTTGTTGATTCACCCGGCTGCAACGTTTCTTCTGCTGAAGGGCAAGCTCTTTGCAAGTTATTTACATCAATTCTGCTGTTTTAACTGTGTGTTGTTATCTTATTTTCCATTTGTTGTCTTATCTATTTGTTTGATCTTTTATTATTTGTTATTTTTATCTGCCTTTATCTCTTCCCAGTAAAAGAAACAGTAGATAACTACTAAGTTCAGATTAAGTGTCCGGTATCTAGACTATCTACTTGCTTTCTCTAATCTGCGCTATGTTGCCACGAGCCTTAGCCCCCCCCCCCAAACCAGCCCGAGGGCCCGCGAGGGCCCGCGAGGGCCCGCGAGGGCCCGAGGGCCGAAACATGAGTTGGGAGCGTCTGGGAAGGTTCAAATCCAAGCCCAAGCTACAACTAAGGGTTACCTGATGTGACTACATTGTCACAGAAAAAGCAGGAGGATTGCCTTTGGTGGGACCGCCTTGGCTGGTGATAAGTAGGCAACGCAAATGTCGAATTCAGAGCCATACAAGGAGCAAGCAGTCCCTGACACATGTCCACGAAGTCCATGTGACCCCTTTGAACCGCGTTTGAGGGCGGCCAACACACTCCCACAAAACCACCCACACACACACACACATACACCCGCCACATGCCACATTTGTGGCCCCGGCCGAAACCCAACACATCCCCGCTCCTTGAGACCTTCTGTTGCAGGTTGTACCTGTCCTGAGACGGTTAAACTGGGAGTTCCCCAGCTCCTCGCCCTATCCGCTTGGCTGCCGTGCCGCCAATTCCACATGTGCCAGAAGCATGACCAGTGCCTCTTCCACAAAAAAGCCAAGGTGAAAATAGGTTTGGTTGCTCAGTTGCCCCTCAGTTGGACCCAGAAATGACAAACACATGTAACATGTGTTCAAGTTTGGGCCACGAAAATTGGCTGCCCGTTTTCTGGAAATGTCTTGGTTCGAACAATTCAGAAGGGGGATGGACTAAACAATGGGGGCCCCCAAGTTTTTGAGTCTGGCAAGGGAAGCAAACCTTTGATCCCCGTGTCCTGTCAAAAGCTACTTGGATTGAAGAAAACCAGAAAGCGTTCCTTCCATTTGCGAATACGTCCCATGCAAAAACCAACCCAGGAATGATAGATGCCCTTTAGAACCAACATGGAAAAAGAACAGTTGTTCTTAAGCAAATGGCATTTTTTTTCGAGAGATTCATCTCCATAAACGGTTCCCGCATGTTCCCGCGACAGAATTCGACGAAAAAAACGCGCCGTTGGGACTGCAGAAGTTTTTTGGATCAATCTGCGGCTTGGGGGCCACCTGGTGGCTCAGCTGGTCGTTCTTCTGGCGCAAGGTCTCCAGAGCCGAAGCCTGCAGGTCTACCTCGCTGGCGCTAAGTGGATATGCTACTCTCACTTGCCCAGAAGACCTGGAAATAAAAGGTGATCACCTTTTGGAGTGACGCAAAATGGGTGCCAAAACTGGAAAACCAAAAGGTTAAAAGGTCGATTCGCTTTGGGCAACTGAGTGCATTTGCAGGAGTCCCCTGGACAAATGGAACGTGTGTCCAGAAATGTGATAGCTTCCCGCTTTTTCTTCTTTTTTCCCGGAAGTGTGAGGTTGCACCAACAAATCGAGCCATCCCGGCTGCACCCATCCCGCCGGTTGCGTCGGGACGCATTTCTCGGACCATGGGCTTGGCCAGTGCCCTGTAACGAGAATGCCATTCTCTGTAAGTCTAGGTCCTCCAGATCTGAGAGCTTAGAATAAGTTGGTACCCACTTTTTTTTCCCTCTGGTTTTGTCCAGTCGAGCCGGGGAACCTTGCCAACCAAAAAAAGATGGTAGAGGGGTCGGGCACCAAGCTGGACCCAGGTAAGGTGAACTCGCAAAGCTTGGACCAGGCGCCCGCTGCATCAACATGCTGATCCGGCTCTCTGTGTCGCTCTCCTCGCAAACGGAACTCGGTTCGGGCCAAAGAAGCCCCCTTATGCCTAGGCTGGAAGAAGAGGACCCCAGCATTTTCTTTTTATCCTGTTTGCCTGGTTAGTGGAAAACAAAGGGAACCCCAAGAAAGCAAAAAAAACAACAAGGGGAGCTAATTCTGGGGAAGATGCTGGCAAAAAATATTTGCCTTTTGCAGCCTGCTGAAAGAACGGCCCCCCATAATCTAAGGCAAGGAGTACTGATTGCCTTTAAGCAGCCCAAACACAAAACAGGGGAAACGACTCCTAAATCCACAAAACCAATCTCCCATGGTGATCCAGATGACGGTTGCGCGTATCAAGCGAGCACTAAACAAGTGTTGAAACAAAAGGCTTTCCTCTTGGTGTTCTTTTCTGCCAAGGGTTACAAGGACAAAACCCCATATGGGACAACTTGCAAGCATCAAAGATCACCCCACACAAAGCTGAGCAGGCACGTACCCACTTGCTCCTTAACAAACCTGGAAATCAAAGGCATCACCAAATCAAAGGCATCACCTTTTGGGGCAACATGACTCAAAATGGGAAACCAACAAGGGAAAGTGTATAAGGTCAGATCCGCTTGATGCGCTTTGCGCAAGTTAGGATATTCTTGGCGAATCCAAAATGGATGGTTGAGCCCCTTCGGGCCCACACCCCAGGCTGGTTGACCCATCCGGTTGCGAATCTGCACAAAAAGGGAGAGCAGTCCTGTGCATTGCTACACTTTCTCGTTGGGGTGTCTTGCAGAACGCGCTGCAAACCAAATAACCGCTTGGGTGCAAGTTGTGAGGGAACCCGGAAAAATCGGTGCATGGAGCGCCC